TTGCTTCGATGTTCAAACATCGAATAGTCAGAGGAATATGGAGTACCTATACGAAAAGTATGGAGGAAGAAAATCAACTGTTGGATTCCAACTCGAGCAATCGTAGATATATAGCCACATTTTTCACACTCAAATGAATTTATCTACTCTGAATAGTTGACACAACAATGACCCTTCATGAAATCCAACATCGTTCTGATGCTAATATAAAGTGTCTGCTTCAACTGCATTCTGATGATGAATCCGATGAATTACCAGCTTGTGATATGGCATTCATAGGCGATCGATTCATTTCGGGGTTATCTATAGTTTCCTCCCTTGGCAATGTGTTCCAGAGCCTCTCTATTCGTTGGATGAACGAGTCTTTGGAAAGAGATGTTCTGCAGGTCTCCAAAATGACCACGAAGGGGTGCAAAGCCCCAACTCGACGGGTTAATCTCGCGGGGACTGCCAAGGCAGGAACAATTGTTGATATTTCAGAAGAGCATCGTCCATGAAAATATCTATAAAATAGAGCCAGATCCAATTTTTCTACGGTGTTCCAGAGAAGTGAGTGAGTTTGTGAGCGAGGCATCACCCACGAGACGAATTGCCCTTTTTGGACAGAATCCAACAGTTTCAGGGTATGTTTGAGTGTTGCACTCCAAATATAGGGACAGTTAAGTGAAATAGCTCCTGACCCGAAACAGAAAACCAAGATCTCACGTGATTCTCCCAAGAAAGATTATTGCTGATAGTAATACCAAGCATCGAAATGGATGTCTACGAAGGTATGGTTACTCCTGCCAAGCTCATGTTGGCACAGATCGGCTTTTTTAGAGAAAAGCATGCTTGTGTTTTGTTTGCATTGAAATTTACCAAGTTATTGGATCCCCATTCGAGAATTGTTGCCAAGTCCATATTCATGTTGTCAACATTTCTTCCTCGTTCGTTTCTGATTTGCCTGGCTGGTATTGGAGCCCTGGAAGAGAAGGCGGTATGGAGGGTACTATCATCCGCGAAGCTGTGTACTGGACATGAAGTTGCTTCCAACAAATCGTTGATATGGAGTAGAAATAGTGTTGGTGCTAGAATTGATCCTTGCAGAACACCAGCATTTATGTATGTCAGATGAAACTCCGTCGACCACTACATGAAGAGACCTGTTTGAGAGATAACTAGCTAGCAGAGAACATAGCTGGGGAGACAAGTCATAAGATGGAAGCTTAGCGAGGAGTCCGTGGTGCCAGACTCGATCGAATGCCTCGGAGACATCAAGTGCCACGGCTAAGGTTTCACCATATTTTTCAATAGATTGCTGCCATATATGTGAGACGTGAGCGAGCAGGTCACCAGTTGATCTCTGATGAAGGAAGCCATATTGCCTATCGTTGATAATACCTGAATGTTCCAGGTATTTCATGAGCTCGATGTTGATAGCTTTCTCCATGATCTTTGAAATAATAGATAGCAGTGCGATCGGTCTGTAGTTGCTAGGTAGGGTCTTTTTGCCCTTTTTAGGAACTGGTTGTACTCTTGCAATTTTCCAGTTGGACGGGGATATCCCCAATTTGTAAGAGTAGTTGAACAACTTGCAGAGAACAGGTGTTAGTTCGGGAGCACATTTCTTGAGGACAATTATGACTGTTCTCCGTTTATGTAGAAAACTCAAGAAAGTCTCCAATATAAATAGCAAAATCAAAATGCTTTATTGAATATGACTCATGTGATAACACACAAATTAAACATTGTTCATATTGCAGAATGATTTACGACATATTATTAGCATTTAATTCACTAATTTCACTCTATGATTTATGTTCGCTACCAACCGGTTGGAATTTTGATGTCTCCTTTTTGCTCTAGGATCATCAATCCTCTGGGTTTCGATAAACCAAAACTTTCTTGAGAAATCAACATCAAAATAATTTGTCAGGATCATTTCTTTATCTCACAATATATGGTCTCTTCTCATGATCTATGATCTCTACATCTCACTCCAGAAATCTAATGCTTCCATGATATAATATAACAATGTTTTTCTGATGTAATTTTACACTTTTCAAAACCATTATCGATCTAATTGAAAACCTAGTAGGCGACCTAGTACGCGAGGAGGTACAATATGCTCTTGCCTACTAACCACCTAACTAGGTTGTTATCTAGAACGACAATGTCGAAACTTACATAAATTCTGAAACGTCTTACTTTACGTAACCATGTATGTAAAGTAAAATACTGGTGATGACATGCTCCTTTCAACACTAGTTACTTAATAAAAGTATGGATGGACAAAGAGATTAATGCATTTTGGTCTGTTTCTTCGATATCACTTGCGAAATTTGAACTTGGGTCAGCCATTTTCCATTAATGAAAACATCAAACGAGTCTATTTCTTGAATTTCTTCGCTGATTTGTAACCATATTTTTGTTTGACCAATACTTCAGTGACGTGCGAGGTCAACTTGCCTACTAAATTTTGTACATAATTGGTAGAACTCATAATGAACTGGCGATTATTTCTGTTCAACCGCGGAAGTTTTCATCAAAATTAGAAAAAAATATTGTATGTTACACTTTAGGAAACACTTTTTGTGTGACGCGTTTCCTAACTAGTTACATAAATATCTATTTCTGATGAAATACTTTATGTTTGAAATCAGCTGGGAGTGGAAGTCTGAACTGTTACTTTCGTCTCATATCTAAATTAACAAACACTGTCAGTTACAGTAATTTTGGAGAACAGTTTTTAACCAGAATTTGAGCCTTAGCTCTTAGTCAATTTGACTGAAACAGCGATTGATAAACTGGTCCGTGTCGATAATACAATATTCAAGTTGATTTGTGTGAAGCTTCTCATAGAATTGTGATTGAAGATGAGCAATATCCTTGAACGTCCAGGTTGATGGCATAAGGATATTGATTTTGGAAAACCACAGGATGCCTATGTGTTGAGGATACATTTTATCAGTGACGGCTCGTGCCCTCAGAACCTGGGTCGGCCAGGGTATAGATATTGCTCTAGTTCGTCATCTTAATTTTTTGGATTAAAATGAAAGAGAGAAATGCGAACGTAACACGTTGGGTCAGCGGCGTAAGTGAAGTTCGATGGCAAATAAGCATGTACACATACCAAAAAAATTAAATTGTCCAGCAAGAACCACGAGGTTAGAGCATTCTCGCCAGGGGAAATGGAGAAAGGAAAAGGAGGTGGATAAGGGTTAGTTGGTATGAAAAAATAATAACAAGAAAGTCGAAAAAATAAAATGAAAGAAAATAAAAATAAAATTACTCGTGAACGAAAAATATTTATATTCTGTTGAAAACGTAACGTAAACTCAAAAAAATCAACATAACCGACAACCACTCACCCTAACGCGAAAAGCACAACAATGACTAATCTGTCTACGCCGTTCCTGTTTCCTGTAACAAGCCACCCCACTCCTTCGTAGTCGGCTGGCCGAGCCTGCCATGCAGCCGTAGGTATAATGTTTCCCGCGATAGATGCATAAATATTATTTATAACCGCTACATGCGTCTTTGAAAATAAATGATATTCTGGAAGTTATACATTTATTACATTTTCGTCACCAGAGCATTTTTACGATGTTTCAATACCTACTCAGCTCTTGGACTGCTGACATTTTTCTTGCCATATTACCTACATAGGCAGAGGCACAGTAGGTTACATTACAATATTCAAATTGAATTATAACTTATTGACGCTCAGAAGCACTGAAGGAAAATTCTGATACCAATATAAGATGGATATGTTGATTATGAATTACTGAAAAATTGCAAATTCAAAAATCACCGTCATTTTTTCTGCAACTACTGCATGCGTGAACAAAATCATCGAAATTATTTTTTCTTTAGTTTGTACAATTCAAATTTCAATATCAACTTACAAATAAGTATAGGAATAAAAATTATAAATACCTATAATGTAAAATGAAAATAGAATGTCAATCATGCCATTTTCGAACTGTTTTATTTTAACTAAAGGAACACTAATTTATATCGAACTTATAACTACTATTTATGTCAAACAATTTATATCACGCGGCATATTACTGTCTCTCTGGCACTCGCTGCTTGACTGACTGACGGTAGTTGTCCGGCCGTCCTTATATATGAGATCCCTTGATAGGCTTTGCTTCTCGAACGTTCTCGAATTATCTTCCGCACCCTTCATTTTGTTCTAGAAGCTTCTTAGATACCTCTCTTTCTAATTGTTCCATCGATTGTATCCAGAACATTCCAGAATCTTCTGTCACGTTATTTGTCATCGCAACATATATGGAGTGTCCGGAAATAGGCTGCTACATGTAGGAATCATTGGGATGATGGAGAACAACCTGGGATGCGTGTTACAGGATGATCGTTGTACTCCTGCCTTCCTGATGATGTTTCTAGAGCCCTTTCTAGAGCCCCTCTAAGGGGAATATCATTACAATATGAATATTATTTCAATATACGTGTTGTAAGGACAAATCAGATGATTTGCCACAAAATGTCACTGCGTTTAAAGAATTTTCCTATCAGAAAGCCTAAAAGAAAAATGCACTAGCTTGTCAGTGACAATTTATATCGAAAAAGGGTTTGGAGAAGAAAAATAAAAGCAAATAGAAAAAATATCGAATTTTCACATATCTTTGGACGTTTCGGGAACGAATCTGCTCCATTTTTCAACATAAAAAAATGGATATTTGTATGGCAAATTCGTATTCGTCTTGACTCTTCTCAGTCCTTACTACACGTATACTGGAATAATATTCATATTTTCATTTTATAGAAACGAGGAGGGAAAATCCCAAAAATAATTGGAATAATGAATGTACCACCTTCTCGATTAACCCACAGACAGTATTTATTCATCCTTCTGAAATTGAATTCCATTTACGTCATCAGATTTTGTTCTCTTCCGACATAATATGTACTTAGGTACTGAATTTGTCGACAATGTACTGAATTGACCTTCTATACTGTGGCAGCATCAACTGAAAATATTTTTGTTGCAGGTAAAAACTATGGCATGGGTTCAACAAGAAGGAAAGAACTGTACATATCATGTAAAGTATTAGGCATAGAATCGAGTAATATATTCGTGCACAATCACACGTTACTTCCTGATGCAATAGATGCACGGTGGCCAACTGCAGAAATTTCTCAAATCATATCACATCATGTGGAAGCCCTAGATATAACAACCCTTGTTACTTTCGATCGATATGGAGTGTCCCAACATAATAATCACTGCAGTATATATTATTCTGTGGCGAATCTAATTCTAGATAGAAAATTACCAAAGTGTAGGTAACTGTTGATTGTATTAATTAATAATTTAATTAATTTTTTTCTGGATGTATGACAAATTGATATTCATAATACAGGACGCGGAAAGAAATTCTGAATTGAGAAAACCCAATCACGAATCTGCGATTAGAGGTCTATAAAAATAAAAAGTTTTCATCGTTCAAGTTTGAACCCCTTGATTGGGTTGGAAAGTGTTGAAAAGGAATATTTTCAAATATATTATGAACATGAAAAAATTTATATATATGAAGAAATACATTGAAAATTCGCATTCTCTATGTGATGGAGAAAGCATTAATATTTCCATCACATAGAGAATGCGAATTCTCAATGTATTTCTGTATATATATATATCCATTTTTTCATGTTCATAATATATCTGAGAATATACCTTTTCAATGTATCAATCATCTTTGAACATTCATTTTTATTGTTATTGGTGTCTAGGATACAGTGGCGTTCCTGTGATGTATATGGCTTACTAATGAGTTCAATGACCTATAACTCACACGTTTTAATCCTTAGCTGTTATTTTACCATTAATTAAATTACATTCGCCTCAAATTCATGACGAACGTCAAATGAAGAGAAACATTAGATATAACCTGACGGCACTCTAAAGACTATCACAGCCATAACTTGAGATCATCTGATAGGTACAGAAAAAGCTATCACGAACAAAAAAAGCATAAAAATTCATAACATCATTTTAATGGATGTATTTGAAGAATGTGAGAAAAAGTTATACAATAAACTCACGAAGATTTATCGAAATAGTGCAAGTTATAGAATTGCATTTGAATTATGAAAAATTGTATCAACCTTGTTATCTAGTATTCTCTTCTGTTCTAAGGAATCAAGGCTTTGTTGCCAGATAATTATCTGATTAATATGCTTTCTATGTGGTGGTGGTCAGAAAATCGTCTGATCCGGTGTCCCGCGAAGATTCTTTTTGCGCCAAGATTGTTCCTACTCCGTATCAATGATCTATTGGGATTAACCACCAGCCCTCTCCAGTAACTACAGCTTCCATAATGCGTTTTCTTCCAGAACTTCCATGTCATCCCATTAGGAAACTAGGAACTCACGACGAGTGCAGGTCAAGGCCGCCTTTCTAGATCTTGCTGAAATATCAGCCTAAAAAACGAACAACCTGCTTGAATTCATCTCCATCAGCATCACTTTTCCATGGGAAAATCATGTTAAATCTATCGCAAAAAGTTTTCTATTCCGCGCAAAAAGCTGAGATGCGAAGTAGAATCTCTTGAGTTTCTTATGATCTAGAAATGATACCATACTGAGTAATTCCTCATCATCATTGGAACACCATTACTAGCAGTACCATCTTAGTACATCAAAGAATCATTGAGATTCCGAGATAACCATTATAAGATATCATCCTGGTGATTCAGGAATTATGTTCGTCACATATACCTGACTACATTTTGTCATCACCTAATGGTCTGTTGATTAAAAGTGATAAGGAATAATACTATTCTTATATTATGAAACTACTATGCCTTCGTTAATTATTTCTATTTAAACAACATAGGCAGTATAGTATATCCAATATCAATTGCAGAATATCCCGCACTGTGCGGCGTCGGCCTGTTTGAAGTCTCCTTTGAAGTGACTGCAGGATTGGCCCGAGGCTCTGCAAGTGTTTTTGGATAAACTATACCTACTCATATCTCATATTATTTGCAAATCGCATACAAATGCACTAGATTGAATGTCAGATCAAGACAACAATTAGGCAATCACCCATGTTGAAAGAAATTAATATAAAAACTAATATCAATCTCTAATTCCCATGACCCTATAATATAATTATCTTGCTCGTTATTTCCATCAGTTTGCTTTATTGTTTTCAGACTGTGGTGTTTATGTACTTGATACTACCAATAAATTGAGGAAATACTGGTTATTTTTGGATATACCTTTATCATTACTGCTGTCCAAATTCAGGTGAGTTTAGTGATTTGTATGGGTGAGCAATATTATTGGTCAGTTGCGCAACAATCTAGATCCGTGAATAACTTATGTTCTTGTTGACAGAAAATCACGACATCAGATGATTTTGATTATGAAATTTCTCTCATTTGTTACATTTCGATTTTGTATGCTCACGGCCAGATTGGATCAAAACTAATTGACCATATTTCACTTGGACAGAGCTGGACATTATTTGCTATTTGTTGGCAGCAGTTACTCTCAAGTTGAGAGTAATTTATCGAATGCATTGTTTTTTGTCAATGTCAATTATAATTACTTTGAGAAAAGGCGGGGTTCTTGCACTTCTGCTGTTATTTTCAATAATCAACTTCTGTAGTGAACCCCTCAATATGAAATGTCTAATTTCTTAAAATATGGTCAATTATTTTGGACTAATGCAATCATCATCTTTAATATTTTCAGAGATTTGATATAGAAGTAATTTCTTACTGAATTCTTTCAAAGATTGAAAACAATTATTTGAAGTTATTTAATAGATAGACAATATTCTTTCTAAAAAACTTCATAGTAAAGTTATTCAAGAGACCCTGATGGTTTTTCTACGAGCGAATGCGCATGCGTCCATAATGTATCACGTAATTCACGGTGACCAATCACCAATCTGACAATGATGTTTGGGAATGGATCAAAAACGTCAGGCTCTCGTTCACTTTGTACCTTCTTTCAGTTTTTGTTATTTTATTTACTCTATTCGTTAAGAGACCCTAATCGAATATGGATTCATTCTATTCAGCACCTGGCAGGAAAACAGCATTGAGAAATTCAGAAGTAGCAGAAAGAAGTTGCCTAAGAATTATTATGAAAATTCGCCATCCGGACAATCCCTTACACAACCCTTCCAACACCTTACTCTATAATTCAACAAAAGTAGAACCCATCCTTCAACGTTTCCACCGACCCAGCAAGTCATTCGCAAAATCTACCTACAATATCCCGATCATAACACCACAAATCATTTCCACCCCAGTAAACTTACGTAGAAAACGTAAATACCCAGAAACCACCATCTACCAAGGATTACTCTAGCTACAACTGGAAAACTGATGATTTTAATTGACATATATATTTTTGTTATCTATCTATACTCTATTAGATTTACTTTATATATTTCGAAATGATAATGTATAAATTTGTGAATAGGCTGAAAGACTTCGGTCGATAGCCTTTTGGGTAGTTCCCCAATAAAGATTTTTCTCTCTCTCTCTCTATCTCCCCTGTAAAATTGGTTTTTCTAACCTCCAGAATAAGTGCTTTTCATGTTTCCAAATATTCTTATTTATTTTTATTCAAAGCAAGTTGTATGTGAAGGAGTTTCTTTTCTCAACCATTACACACTATTTCACACCGCAGAAGATAGCGTGGAAAAGTTCATGTCATTCATATCTACTATCAGTCACCACCGTCACTACTTTAAGTTGATTTAAATATAGTATGAGCACCCCCGTATGGATATATGATTTCAGAACTAATAGTTCATTTCCACCACGGTCCAAATCCGACAGCACATTAGCAGAAACATCGCAGGAGAAAGCAAATATTTTTGCAGATATGTTCACAGCAAACTCTACTTCAGATTCCCAAGGAAAAGTATCGCCAGACATTCCACCCGTTGAGAGTCGAATGCCCGAAATCGTCTTCCGTCAACGCACTATCAGACGAATTTTGCTTGGTCTCAAAACGGATAAGGCTAACGGTCCTTATGGAATTCCACCCATTATCCTCAAAAAATGTGCACCAGAATTAACACCGATTCTCTGCAAGTTGTTTACCGTCTCGTACAGGTCGGGTATTTTTCCATCATGCTGAAAGACAGCTAAAGTCCAACCAATCCCAAAAAAGGGAACAAGAACCTGCCCAACAACTACAGGCTCATTGCCCTGTTATCAGTAATTTCCAAAGTGATGGAGAAAGCCATCAATATTGAGCTTATCAAATATCTGGGGAGCTCAGGAATCATCAATGATAGACAATTCTGCTTTCGTCACCGAAGATCTACTGGAGATCTACTTGCCTTCGTCAAGCTTCATTAGAAAAACACGTGGAATCTCTAGCTGTCGCGTTGAACATATCGAAAGCATTCGACCGTGTTTGGCACGAAGGACTCCTCCACAAACTACCATCATACGGCTTACCTCCTCAGCTATGCCATCTCTTATCGAGTTTTCTTTCAGGCAGATCGCTTCACGTATTGGTGGACGATGTATCGTCTGATACCATTGGCATCAATTCCGGCGTTCCACAAGGATCAATTTTGGCACCAACATTATTCCTTCTTCATATCAATGATCTGTTGGGGGTAACAACTTACCCCATCCACAGCTTTGCAGATGATAGTACCCTCCATACTGCGTTCTCTTCCAGAATTCCCATTTCTTCCCAGGAAACTAAGAACTCACGGCGCAGGCAGGTCAATGCTGTCAATGAAGACCTTGCTGAAATCACAGCCTGGGAAACCAACAACCTAGTTGAATTCAACGCCACCAAAACTCAAGCCTGTATTTTTTCTAGAAAGGCGGAACTCAGTATGCCCGACATTGTAATGTCTGGCACCACCATCCCCACCAAGCCCACCATATCTATGCTCGGTATTTCCATCAGCAACACTCTTTCATGGGATAATCATGTCAGATCCATCGCAAAAGCTGCTTCACAAAAACTCGGATTCTTGTTCCGTGCGAGAAGCTACTTCACACCTAAATAGCTTCTCATGATCTACAGAGCGAAGATACGACCCTTCACTAGCAATACCAGTCAGACGAACTAGACAAGCCCAGTCAGCACATCCTTTCGTTGTCAACCTCTAAAGATGTCGAACAGCACTTTATCATTGCCTGAAGAAGTATTCCCAACAACATATAATCTCCAGAAGTTCAAAAAAAATACCTACCTCCTGTCCCTCTCCTCCCTAGGAACGTGCGCTCCAAGCGATAAAAAAATAAGTTCATCCTACCATCAAGAATAATAATCAAAATTATAGAACCTCAACCTATTTTGGATCATCAACTGAAAAATTAGCTTCATTTCTACATAAACAGGACTTGAAAGTATCATATAGAACAAATAACACGTTGGGATGGTTTATCAAGAATAATAAAGACATAATTTTTAAATTCGAAAAATCAGGGGTATACAAACTCAACTGTGGATCTTGTCCTGAGGTCAGACAGGTCGAACGTGTAATCAGCGCATTCATGAACATAAGATGAATTTTATGAAAAAGAAAACAAATTCAACATACGTCAACCATATATCAGATGAAAACCATAGTTTTGATGATAATTTCGAAATTTTACACGTAGAAAATGAAGGAATGAACCTCAATAATTTTGAATCATTAGAAATCAAAAAACTCAAAAATTCTGACATTTTACTCAACGATCAATTAGACCTCAATAGTTCGCCAATGTTGAATTTGTTTTCGTAGTAAATAATAATATTTATTTGCTATCAACTCTTTCAACTCAATCCGGTACACCTAATTTCCGAAAATGGAGGTTTATCGTACCTGTCCACAGGTACTAATCCCTCAGGTTGGAAAAGTAGGATATATGAAAGTTAAGCAAGCCAACATTAGTTTAGTTCATTGTACCAGTATATCACCTGACGAAGCTACTGTGTTAGCGAAACATGTCGTGTGTTTGAGAATTTTGTGGAAATCTTATCGTTTGTGAAGTTTTCTCATCCGAAAACTGTTATTATATTATGTCAAACATTCAACTATTCTTGTCATGACTCTGCGGCCTCCGATACCGATACAGTCGAACCCTGCCGCAACCAGTGACCACTAATGTAAGTTATTTGCCTCCTTACGGCATGCCGGGATGATTTCCAAGTCAGAGAGCAGCATAGTCTTGTTACCATCTAGGGATCTTATCATCAAGATCACGAGTTCAACAGAAGATTCTGGATAGAATCTGAGGAGCTTGAGGACCGTTTCTCCTCCTCTTTCAAGAGGACGATCATTTCGAACATCGTTTCATCAGATGGCCGAGGAGGACTATCTTCAAGCATTTCAGCTTCAATTTTCCTGCTGGTGGTGGTAAATGTTCCAATAAATTAGACACTTCTCATTCGCTACAAAGAGGCTCAATATCTCGCTCAATATCCTTTGGAGCATAGGGCAACATTGGGGTCTTGTCTATACCGTACAAGCGCCGTAAAATAGTGGTATATCAGTTGTAATGCTGCATTGGGTCGATTGATATAGGCCGAGATAGCATACACCCGACACAGGTTTGCCAGACTTCTAGATTCAGCCGGGATTGCCCCTATTCATTGAAAATGTTCCGCATTGTCTCGGTTCTGTAGAAGGGGGGCGGGGAGGTGAAAGGCCAGTTTTCGAATTTTTTTTATCAGTAGCATTATATGTATGTATGTAAATCGGGAGCTGGTTAACTCCTTAAATGAAAACATAAAGGCCGTCCCTCTACTTGAATTATTTTCATCTCTTGGACATCGGTGGAAAGAATCAATAGGTGTACTCTGGATGTTCTTTATACACGAAAGTAACGTTTCATATGTTTATCATCCAATCGCAAGTGAAGATTGAATATCAATGTCAATTTCGTAGGTATACGAGAGGATATACGAAGGATAGGGAATACCCCTTATAATGTCATGTTTATTCCTGGTTTCGATTTAAGGTCTGAGTGTCTAGTATCTAGCAGTCGCCGCCGTCTGTTGTTTATCACTATTCAGTGTACTACTAATCGTGTTGACTCAAGAGAAATACTACATCTCTTCCTTTTATCGAAAAATGGTCGTTGGGCTCGAAGTCGACGAGCGGTCTAATTGCAAACTGAGAGCCATTTTGGCGTTTCCGGGCGTTTTTCATGTTCTGACAAGCCCGTTACGTGTCTGTGACGTTTTCGTGCTGTTTTTGTGGCATTTCTGTGACGTTTCCTTGCTGTTTTGCGTTTTTGATGGTTGACAAACCTGTGACATTTCTATGACGTTTTTGTGCCATTTTTGAAGCTATGACAATTCCGTGAAGTTATTTTGCCGTTTTTGTGGCGTTTTCGACGTCACAGAAACGTCACGGCTTTGTCAAAGCATTAAAAATGGCACAAACACGTCACAAAAACGTGACGGGTTTGTCATAGCAACAAAAACGCCACAAAAACAGTACGAAAACGTCACAAAATCGTCACAAACTTGTCAAAGCATGAAAATTTCACTCAGATTGCGGTTGATCGATGCCCGGCTTTTTGAGCTCAACTTTTCTTATGGCCATTCACATGGGAAAAGTGATCGAAATGATGCCGTTTTCTTGTAGCTCATTTACTGACTTCATTTGTGATTTTGTAAGAACGCATTAGTGTAAAGGTTAAGAATAGGAAATACAAAATATCAGTTTACTAGTTTATTCTGTGAAATTCTGGTCTAACTTCATACTCATGATCCTAATTTTTCCAATGAAACTCTGTTTTTTTTCACAGGTATATCATTGGTTTCCAGGATCGGACAATTATCCATAAAGCCATGAAGAAACATAAGTCTCAGTTGGTGTGGTTCCGATGTCTTTATATGTATTTTTCCAGATATATGCTGATGAACACTTTACAGCAAATGAATTTGGTTGATATAGAACTAGACTTGGAAATTGAAGATTAAATGTAAATATGACAAGTAAACTATCAAGGTATTTATTATTCCCGTGTGGGTAGAAATTGTATTTTTGGTGTTTGTGAGAAAACATCTTGATTCCAAAATCTTTTGAATATAGTGTGCATTGAGTTTTATAAAAAAATGGTAGAAGGTATGTGTTTACCAATTTTGAGCAAGGTTTTTTCAATTTTTCATATCAATTCGTAGCCACAAAAGAATATTTCTATGGCGAAGCAATGTTAATCCATCCGAAAAAGCATTTTCTGAGTCAACAGCAAGTCATATTAGTGATATCCTGATCTCGAATCCATAGATATTTTCAATCTTCTTGCCTACTAATATCGTGTTTTGGAAATATCTATAGTCTTATTTGGTCACTGAGTATCTTCGGTAGCTTTCTCAGAATTGAACCTCCATAATCAGGAAAGATATAGGCGTGCTTCCATCAGAAGTGAGACACACTGTATAGTGACTCCCTAGCAAAATTCGGCTCCTATTATAATTTTTCTTCAGTGCATCAGGATTTCATAAACTGCATGCAGTATTGATATTTCAGGTCAGTAATTCAGTATAAAAACTGTTCTTTTCAAATATTATAATTTTCCACGTTGATTTATCATGAAAAGTATGAATGAAAAGAAATGTCATGGACTTTTTTATGTAGAATCATCTCATTTTTCGATTTCTATAGATATAATTATTTCGTATCAAGAAACAATGTTGTACTAATATAGTGAACTATTATGAAATACTGAATCTGAGGGAACAATAAGAATTCGTAGTCGATGAAAAAAAATTGTGCACGACTTGAGTTTGTTGAGTTGATACACTATTTTTTTGAACTAGCAAACCAAGCGAAACATTCAGGAATATGATGATATTCTCAACTCCAACACTTGACGATGTTGTGCTTTTACGTATTTTGTATTTATTGTTCTTTTGAAGTTGTGGTCTTCAATAAAAGACAGTTTCCAGCCTCTTGATACACATTTATTTACAAAAAATCATTAAACCATAATGTCGAGTTGATCAACAGTGTCCAATTTTCTTACATTTTGTCGTGGTACCTACTTCTGCCAAACCGCATGTGACCATAGTCGTCAGATATTTCTTCACCTTTTCTTCCAAACCGCATGTGGCTATAATCATCTGATTTCGTTTGGCGTTTCGAATAACCGAAGAAGTCGTCACCATCCACTGAAAAGGGAATATGCATTCCTAAATGTTCGCAGATATACAGGGGGAGTCATTAAAATGGGAAAGTGAGATAACGGCTTCGCTGTATGAGATAAACTGCTCAACACATGAAACGTAAATCGCATCTTTTCGATCAGATTTGAATCATCATAACTTTCGATTTCCTCAACCGATTTTCAATATTTTTTGAGTTTCTGAAAATTTTTTGGAACTGTCACATGCGTTACTGAAATATGAATGTTTTATTAAGATAATGCATAATTTGATGCTCTAATTTCTATTGGCTTTGTGTTCCTGTCAATCTGGTTCGAATGGTGGTCAAAAATCTTGAAATGATGCATGATCAACCTTATCAAAACTCCTCAAAATCTTATTGATCTCCGACCAATAAGTATCTTATGTGCTCTTTCTAAATTGTTCGAGAAAATTATCAATATTCAAATAAGAAATCACCTTGATCTATTTACGATTCTACCTCCCACTCAATCAGGTTTTCGTGCAAATTATAGTTGTACTACAGCTATGCTGAAAGTAGTAGATGATATACACGCTGCAGTCGATGCCAAGAAACTCAGTGTATTAGTTTTGTTACACTATTCAAAGGCATTCGATAGAATTCATCATCCTCTACTCTTGAGTCTCTTATCGTATCTCGACTTCTCAGATGGCGTAGTGATGATGCTGAATAACTATCTTTCTGGTCGATCCCAATGTGTAATTCTAAATAACAGGAAATCGAACTATCTCACCACACGCAACGGTGTGCCTCAGGGCTCAATTCTTGGTCCCTTTCTGTTTGTACTATATACTTCCCAGTTCCCGAAATGTTTGAGACACACGAATATACATAGCTACGCGGATGACACCCAAATTTATAAACACTTTGACGAAGACTCTATCGCCTTGATGATAGCTTTGATGAAGACCTCCAATAAATATTGTCTAACAGTTAATCCTCTGAAGTCTGTTATGTTTTGTTTTTTGGCAGAACTGCCATGAGGAAACGGCAGTTCGATAACATTAAAATTTCTCTTGAAAATTCGCAACTTCCTCTCAAAGAAAAAACAAAGAATCTTAGTCTGCTCCTCGATCACTCTCTCAGATTTTCATTCCACACGTCGCATATTCTCAGACGCGGTTATTGTAACCTGATATTAATTTACTCTAATAGAGATGTGCTGAATGTTAAATCTAAGAAGATTTTATGCGATGCTCTGTATTGTCGCATGCTAATTTTGCAGATGTTGTTTATGGCCCCAATTTATTGCAATCAGATAAACACAGATTACAGGTTCTACAAAATTCTTGTATCAGACTCGTTAGTGGTGCAAGAAGACGAGACCATATTTCCCACTATTTGAAAACACTAGGTTGGATGAATATGGAAACACGTCGCATATTTCACGCATGTACGCTTTTCCATAAAATGATCGCATAACTATGAAACCGAGTTATCTTCTTGACAAAATCAATTTCAGAACTGATGTCCACAACTTGAACTTGCGTTTTAAACACCATCTTACACCTCCTAATCACAAAACGTCTCTCTTTCACGGATCCTTCACATTCTATATTGCCTGGCTGTACAATAGGTTACCGACTTCCCTAAAATCACTCTCTGTTATTGGATTCAAATTTAAATTGAAACATCTTCTGCTTGAAAACAAACTGCCTAATCTTTTTTAGAGCTCATTCTCCTTATTTATTATCATTATTAATTTACTAGATTTTCTCCTACAATTATTGTAATCTCAACTTCACTTGAAAATTTTTTATTTTTTTTTCTTCTGGTTGTATGGAAGAGCAAGCTCGTACCTTGTCTACAACTTGGTAAGAGATTGAATCCTGCCTTTTAATAGTATGAATGTATGATCCATATAATTATATTCACCATATCTATATTTTACTATCAATAAAATCAATTATTATTATTATTATTATTATTATTATTAAGTAATAAAAAAAATCTTGTTCTGACGAGAAAGAAAATTTCGAAGTAGGAAACCGATTGAGAAGTTTTCTGGCGATCAAAGCGTGTAGGAGAGGTTGTCATCACCATGTCGAGTTGCTACAGAATCTAAGATCAAACCACTGGAATTGTTGGAAAAACAAGATTTTCAGAGTGTCTCACTTTGTGATAGATTTTCAGAAGATAATTTCAAGGAAAATAAGACTGAAGAAATATACAGGATCTCGTTTGAATAAAAATAGTTGCTGCCGAGACATACCATGCAACTGACAGAATTCATCACAATTGCAGTAGATTTACGAGTATCAGGATGTGATTTCATTTGCGGTGAATGTCTTCACAAATGACTTATATTGAGTGTTTGTCGAAATTCAAAAGAATGGCAGACGTAAGTCACATGGATATGTAATGTCCTAAAAAAAACATGAATTTTCCATATTGAATTCCATCACAGTCACAATGTTCTAGTTTTATGACTTTTCATCAATAACACCAGTTCAAATCACATCACTCTCACGTTGAATTGAATTTAACATTGAAGTGAACATGAAAAGTATGAAAATTCAATAACTCATGAATTCTTGACAAGCAGTTGGACCACCCTATAAGAATAGGTTGATCATGCATAATTTCAAGATTTTTGACCACCGTTCGAACCAGATTGACAGGAACACAAAGCCAATAGAAATTAGAGTATCAAATTATGCATTATCTTAATAAAACATCCATATTTCAGTAACGCGTGTGACAGTTCTAAAAATTTTTGTACAGTATCGAGAAAATATATGGAGCAATATGTTTTTGTCCCGAAAAAAAAATAGAATTTTTTTTTCAAAGGGGAGGCGGGGGGCGTTTGAAATTTTTGGAAAAATGCACAGCTTTTGATTATCATCCTGTAGAATGTCACCCGGAGAGAATGAAATAGTCATATCCATAGGTTCGATAGTCAATGAAACGAGCTTTCAGAAGCTGAAGAATAATTGGAAATCGGTTGAGGAAATCGAAAGTTATGATGATTCAAATTTGTTCGAGAAAATGCGATTTTACGTTTCATGTGTTAAGCAGTTTGGATATTTAAAATTTTTTGTGATGGTCTAGGCTCATGAAAAGCATATTTCTACATTACTTTGCATCTACAAGGTGACTCAGAATTATGAACCACCCTGTATTTGTTCAAATTTAATATCAGTAGATAGTAAACCAAAAGTTAAGATAGGGACATGTGAGCCGTTTTGACCAATAACGAATAGTTTCGCGATAAAAAATCCTAAAGTTGAAAAATCTTGATTTTGAACACCCGTCATAATTTTGTAGTACAATTCGCAAATAATCACGACCAAATAGATGGCTCTATTAAACGTCAAATCAACGTCAAATTTCAAACTGAGTATGAACAACAAAAACATTGCCATATGCACTCATTGCAAATTGGTTATTGAAATCATTTTGCAAAATAGTGAATAATAAGTTGACTTCGTGAAATATGTACAAGGTTTCCAGTATGGAGAAAATTACTTTTTGTGCAAAGAAATTACCATTTTGATGAGGACAATGGTGGTATTCATCATTGATATCACACTACAATTCCACAGTTTTCAAACATATGGTATGGTCTGAATGGTCCACTCAACACTTGCATGGACTGGAATGAAACCATTTAAGCAATCAGATATTACAACAATATGGTATAGGTATGAAGAAATAATTGAATTCATCAAGAAATATCACTGCTTTTTATGGAGGAAATGGGATTCTAGTGAAGGGGTTGGAAAAGAAGATATGGTTGGAGAGGCTGCCCAGAATCATCATTTACATAAACGAGGGTCTCCAGCAATTGAGGACTTTA